AGAAGAAAAAAATTCTTATCTGCTCCTTTAAAAAAAAATATATTTTTCAAACAATGATAAACCAAATAAAACAAAATAAAAGGCAGCAGAAGAAGAAAAAAATTCTTATCTGCTCCTTTAAAAAAAAATATATTTTTCAAACAATGATAAACCAAATAAAACAAAATAAAAGGCAGCAGAAGAAGAAAAAAATTCTTATCTGCTCCTTTAAAAAAAAATATATTTTTCAAACAATGATAAACCAAATAAAACAAAATAAAAGGCAGCAGAAGAAGAAAAAAATTCTTATCTGCTCCTTTAAAAAAAAATATATTTTTCAAACAATGATAAACCAAATAAAACAAAAAATTAAACTCCTCAAACAGTCATTAATAGAAATGAAGCAGGTTTGTATTTTTCCCTTCAGGCTCTGAAGTGGCAGCAGCATCAGGGCCTCCTGCCGCCCGGTGTGACCATCGACTTGTTCAGAGGTAAAGCTGCTGTCAAAGACGTGGAGGAGGAGCGCTTCCCCACCCAGCTGAGCAGACACATCAAGGTAGCTGCGCTGTGCAGCTGTTAACCAGCTGCTTGTCAAACTGTTAACATGTGTTGTGTTGATGTAAAAATGTGTTGTTTGTCATTCTGCACAGTTTGGACAGAAGTCTCATGTGGAGTGTTCCCGCTTCTCCCCTGACGGACAGTACCTGGTCACCGGGTCCGTGGACGGCTTCATCGAGGTTTGGAACTTCACAACAGGAAAAATCAGAAAGGTGAGGAGGAAGTTCAGACACGTGATGTGACAACGAACGATTCTACATTGTTTTTTTTTTTCATTTTGTGTCTTAACCATTCAACCTTTTGTGTGCAGGATCTAAAGTATCAGGCTCAGGATAACTTCATGATGATGGACGACGCCGTGTTGTGTATGTGCTTCAGTCGGGACACAGAAATGTTAGCCACTGGAGCCCAGGATGGAAAGATCAAGGTCAGCTTTGTTACTCTGTTGTGTTTTTGTACTTTATTTGTGCGTTTTCTGGGCTCAACACTTAACTTTTTGCACCGGTGCGCCCAAATGACATCACAGTTTTACACGTTCACTTTATTTTTTTAAATCTCTGTCCAATCAGACAATATTAACTCTCAAATAATTAGTTAACAGTTTAGTAAACATAAGTTCTATATTTGAACCAGAATCATCGAGACATACTCAGGGTTCCTGCAGAAAAGTCATTGAATTCACCAATCCAAAAATAAGGCCTTAATTAGCCTTTAAATGTCTTAAAATCAATCTTTCAGAAGT